TCACAGTCACGACGTTGCAAGTCCTTCGCGATCGCGATGTCGTTTGTGCCGCGCGTCTCCCCCTTGACGAAGTAACGTGTGTGCGAGAGAGTTCCTCTTTGACGCGTTTTGAAAATATACCTGTGAAGCGCAGCTGTAATATAACGTAATACATACAACAGTTATGAGAGAGAGAGAGAGAGAGAGAGAGAGACAGAGGGAAAGAAAGGATGAAAACAAACAAAGAGCCGAATGTCGAGTCGCGGGCAAAGCGCGACACGATCGAGACGAGAAATGACGAAAAGTCTCAGCGCGACTCGTTACGAAAAAGACACCCCCGTGTGCGTTATCGGACGACGCGTCGGCCGTCGCGACGTGGGTACGCGGTCGCGCGCTCCTCTCGTGTGTACGTGTGCACACGTGTTCGCTCGCGCGCGAGGGTGTGTTTGCGCGCGCGCGTTATACCGCGCTCCGCACGGGCAACGTAGGGACAAGAGAGGCGATATATAATGTTCCGCGATATTAAACGGGACGCATTCCACCGAAGCCACCCTCTGGTCCCTGCTATGAATGCTTCTACGACCCCCGTCTCCCGTCTCATCCCTGCCTGCCGCCCCCTCGTCGACCATCTCCGAAAAGCAGGGCGAGGGAGAGGGAAAGAGCGAGCGGGAGTCGGAGGGTAGGAGTGAGAGTGAGAGAGAGAGAGAGAGAGAGAGAGAGAGAGAGAGAGAGAGGTGGAGAACAGACCTGGCCTACTCGACCGGGGCCACCCCCGAATGGTTATACGCCAAATTTACAGCTTAGCCAGTGCCACCACCGCCGCCATCCACGAACGCGGCATTTACTAGCGCGCCACCCTCTCCCCCGTCCCCCCCCCCCCGTAGATCCGCGCAACGGATACATACCATCGGTATATAGCTCAAGGATAAAGCGACCGAGGACATTTTCCGGCTGTCCCCGACGTGACGTTCTCCCGATGACGAATTCACTCGGCCGGACGTCGGCCGGAATTTCGGATCGCCATTTGTCAATTCACTCATAGCCGCGCGCGCCGAGGCAGACCTGGTCGAGTCACGGACAGCCGGACAATTTCCCGCCTTGGCTCGGCAAGATCTCGAGTCTCGGGTGAAAATTGAGAGCGAGAATCGAGACGATTTCGCGGTCAGGGGGATTAACGCCGCGATCGAACTTGTGTCTCTCGGCTCTCGAGCGCGCGTAAATTAGACTGTTAGCCCAAACTCGCGCGCCGCTCGTCTTACCTTACGCCCTGCTTCGGCGGCGTGACACGGAGCTGATGGGGGGCGAGTGTCGAGTTTCCGAGGACTTTGAGGTTAACCGCGCGCGCGCGCGCACACGCACACACACGCGCGCGCGAGATAACGTGGGAAACGCGGTCGCGGAAAGACGTACGCGGCGATCTCATTCCCGCAGATGTTCACGACATTCCGAAACGTCCGACTCCGTCCCGGGGAAGTTTCTTCATTCGTCGCCACGTCGAGCTCTCGGCGTCTTCGCGTCGCTCGGCCGCTCCGCCCGCGCCGTAAATCTCATCTCGCGAGAGCCGGCGAGATGCGGCGGCGATGCGCGCTGCTTAAACAGCCGAATCCGGCTGTCCGCGGCGGTGACAAAAACGCACGCTTAATTGTCTCGAAACGGCGCCCTCCAATCGGCCTTGTCGCCGCGCCGCGCCGCGCCATTCTTACCTCGCCTCGCCGTGGTTTCACCGATCGGAAGTACTCTCTAAATTTCTTCCAGTGAAATTCCACTCGAAAAGTGGAGCGACAGCCGCGAGTCACTCGGAGTCGAGTGACTTTGCACTCGCGCCGAGTGAATACTTTTACTCGAGATTGGAGAGTGAATCTGACGAGGCGCCGCGTCGGGGAAGCACAAATTCGCTCTAATCGACCGAAGCGGCGCTCACTCTTTCCACGACTCGAATCACGGGGGCGGTCCTCGTTGCCGCTTCGAGTGAATTCTCATCGTCTCCGAGCGAGACTCCGCTTCAAGAAATTTTGAAAAGGGGGCAGGGGGGAGGGGAACAGATCCACCCAGCTCTAATCCGCGTGAGCCTACGAAATGTCTATGAAATCCCGGCCCGAGCGAGTGAGGGAGGAAGAGAAAGCGGCAACTAGAGGGGGGGGGGAGGGCAGCGCTGCGCTCTTCGCGGGCCGAAAATTCGCCGCGACTCGATCATTGCTCGACCGGTGGAGTCGAGGCCGGGGGAAAATCTAGCCGTGATATCCAACGCCGAGCGGCTTGCGGCCGAGCCACGGAAGGACGCGCACGTTCGCGGTCTCGCGATCTCGTAGCGGCGGTAGGACATTCCGAGGCTTCGAAGAGAGAGGCACAGAGAGAGAGAGAGAGAGAGAGAGAGAGAGAGAGAGAGAGAGAGAGAGAGAGAGAAGGAGAGACAGAGAGAGAGAAGGCGTTGTGTCTCCCTCCCTCAAGTGCCTGCACCCTATCACAGCCGGCCTGGTCATACCCTATCCTTCACATCCGAACATTTGCAACCCTTGGGTATATAACCACTCTTGCTCTCACCCTCCTCCTCCTTCGCCCGTAGCGCCCAGCCGCGAGAACGCCGAGTGCAACCATGCATCATCCGCCATGATCTATGCCTTCTGCTGGCGTCCTGGCGTTGCAGCCTGCCGCGGACTGCATGGAAACACACATGCACACATACACACACACACACACACGCGCGCTCTCGCCGCGGTGCACGTGCGAGTACGCAAACCGCGTCTGCACGTCTCTATTAAGCCACCGCTCATTTTCAGGCCGGCGCCGCTGCGCATATTGCATTCGCGCGCGCTCTCTCTCTCTCTCTCTCTCTCCCTCTCTCTCTCGAGCACCGCGAGCGAACTGCGTTCACCGTTAACCGCCGTGTGCATCCGCGATTGTGCGCAAGCCGTTGCATCGCGATTTCGCCGGGTGACCCCGCGTGCGTTTTCACGGGGTCGGCCGAGATGAGTGCTAGCTAGCTAACTCGCTCGCTCGCTCGCTCGGGATATGTTCCGCAAAGAGCCTCGTACCGACGCCTTGTCTCTCGGTCTCTCGCCCGCGGATTAAATGGACTCGACCGAGAGGAACGTGTGGAGAGAGAGAGAGAGAGAGAGAGAGATCGCTCGGTGAATCGATCATCTCGACGCGGATTTGGCGAGTTATCGTCCACAACACCTGTTCTTTCTCTTTGTCTCTGTCTGAGGACTCGAGTTAGGCACTGAGACTTTCAATTGGAGCGCTCGACGTGGTGAATGAAGCTTGACGACGAAGGCAGTCTCTGCCTCCCCTCTCTGCCTCTCGCGCGCCCGTAAACACGTCTTGTCTCTGTCGACTAGCCAGCCCTGGCGGAAAGATACTCAATAATTAGCAATATCCCGGATTCGACCGGGCCAGCCCGTTCGCCGAACCGGCGCGGCGATCCGTTCCTTCCCCCACCCTCCCTCCCTCCCTCCCTCCGTCTCCCCCGCGCCCAAACGGCTAAAGTGGGGCACGTTACACGAATATCTGCGTATAATTAACAATTATCCGTCTCGTCTTGTTTCCCCAAACGCCGGGCATGCGATCGGCACATGCGCGACGTTGCTTGCCCGCATGTCGAATGATTCCCGATAAATTCGTCATCGGCGGCGACGCGGATGCCGCGAAAGTTGAATGACAGAGAGGTAGGAGAGGAGAGGAGAGGGTGTATATAGATATGTACCCACACGGATAGCGATCGCCGTCGACGAGAACGACGACAACAGCGTCGACGACGATGACGGCGGGGCGGGAGGGGGGCCACGCTCGGCTTTTCCCGGGGGTTGTTGCTACGGATCGGGATTTGCACCGCCACCACGAATCCGGGGGTAGGGGTCTTTTCCGGGGGCTCAACACACACACACTCCACCCTCGGTAGGCGGAGTGTACCGCCTACGAACTACCCCCACCTGCCGTCGCGGCACTGATACGCGATATCAGCGAACACTTGTTGCTCCGACGAGCGGCGTAGCACCGCGTTCGCTGCACCCCCTCGCCCTCCCGCACCGCCAACCGCTCCCCCTATGACCCCCCGCGACCGCGATTTTTCACGTGCTGATTTTTCCGCCGCGCGCCCCCTCCCGCCGCCGCCTCCCTGCCTCTCACCCTGGTGCATCCTCGCGCGCGCACGCGACCTCCCGATTTCCACCCCCGTCGATCTCTTCTCCCCCGTGGCTAATCCGATAGGATAATATCCCACCGTCGAAAACGCGGCCGACCCGTGCGCGCAATGGCCAGCGAAATTAATTCGTTATTCTGCAGCGGACGTCGTTAGAAACAATAATGCGCTGTGAAATTGGGGGCAGGGGGAGGGAGATAGCCGCGGGAGGGAGTCCCTATCGTCGGTATTGTAACGATTCCGATGGTACGAGGGCGATCGAATGAGGCTCTCTAACGTCCCTATCGTTTATCATTACTGTTAACATTAACGTTTATGGTATCGTGGTCCTTCAGAAGGGAAATTGCCGTTGCATGCACGTCTTTCAGTTTCCCAAACGAGAAAGCGCTTTTCTTCCGCCACACGTCTCTCTATGCTCTCTACTCTGCCGAGTAATCTTCACGTGTCGACTCCTACCCGACATTTTTTACAAACAGATTAAGAGAGAGAGAGAGAGAGAGAGAGAGAGAATGCTCGGAATTACACACATGTCGCAGGATCACGGCATAAACACGATTCTACAGAAAAACGCTAGAAATCCCTTTCTAGGGCAAAGGATCCGAAAGACTCACGAATACTTCCCGTGGGTCATGTGTGAGTGTGTGTGTGCGCGCGCATGTCCTACTTGGCTTAATTACTTCTCGCCTCGCAAGATGCAGGCTGGTCGGCACGCCGGCACGTGTATTTCCGCGCGTGCAGCGGCGGTGGCGACGAGGAGCTTGGAGGATAAAGAGAGAGAGAGAGAGAGAGAGAGAGAGAGAGGGAGAGAGAGAGAGAGGGAGAAAGAATGGATTTTTTCGAGGGAAAAGTTAATAAACTGAGGTTCGTCTCTCGTTTGTTGCAGGCAGTGCGGTGGCTGCAGCCGACACCATTTCCGCGCCGTGGACCCCCGCGAGTTCCGGGCCGCCGCCCGACGCCAACGGCTCCGGCTCGGATACGAAGAACCTCGACGTTGGCGAAATTAGCGATGTAAGTCGAGAGCGTGCCGTCTCCAATGAAAGATCGCCGAGCGCGTAGTCGCGCGCTCTGCCGTCCTCTCTTTCCTTCCTTTTCTTTCTCCTTGCCCTTCCTCTGCCTCAGTTTTTGCTTTGTTTTTATTTCAATTAGCTCGCGCGAACTCGTACGTTGGAAAAGGGCGACGGCTTTCCCGACAAGCTGCGCGTTCCCGTTGCCGCTCTCAGTCGGGAAAGACAGCCGGGTCTCGTCTCGAGCTCGCGCGAGTACATCGTGATCACACGAGGATCGCTCAAGTCGCTCCGCGCGAAATACGTCGCGACGCAAGAGGTAACGGTGCAGATGTAATTTCACGCGGTCGTCGGCGAAAGTCGTCTCCGCGAAGAGGAGAGAAAAATTGGCGAGTGACCACCGCGCCGAGAGAGAGAGAGAGGGAGAGAGAGAGAGAGAGAGAGAGAGAGAGAGAGAGAGAGAGAGAGAGAGAGAGAATCTTCGTCGTTTCGTTTCTCGATTCGGCTGCGTTTCCGACTAGGATCGTTCCCGCGTCGACAAATGCGGTCGGGACATCGCGATGAGATTGGCCGGAGGATAAAGTCCTTCGCATTATCGAGTGAATATACTTTTTGTAATCTTTGTTTGTCCGTAGAGGGGCAGAGAGGGAGGGAGGAAAATAGCCTCCGTGTCGGAGCAGAGAGGGATTTATATGCGGTGTCAAAAATAAAACAATCTCCCGTTTGCGCGAATCGCGGTGACAATGAGATTTCATCGGATCCCGGCACCGGCGCGAGAGCACGCCGCTGTTTCCAGTTGAGGATTAAACCGTTCCCGCGGTTACTTTTCGTTTTGTTCGCGGAATTTATTTGCATACATATTCCCGCGCTGCAAAACCAAACAGCATCATATGAATACTAATGTCATGAAAATTCACGGGATTACTTAAGCGTTAATTTGCCGAGCTTAGCACATGCAAATTGGATTTATTTGGGTCAGACGTGCGAAACAGCTTCAAAGCTGAACGTCGCCTTTGCAATTTAATTTTCCGTCCTTCCCCCCCCTCCCCCCCCCGCCACCCTCCTCGCCTCCGCCGCGGCGCCGTGCCGTCCTTCTTCCCACCGCGCGCATGTGTTATTTCACCGACGAGACGCGACGAACGCACGATTTACGTGTACTTTATTCATTTACTATTTTTTGTTATCCGAGTCCAAGTCCTCCTTTTTCCTCCTATGTTTTAATCTTATTTACTCAACGTTCGAGGATGCGCGAGAGAAATGGAGAAAAAGAGTGAGAGGAAGAGAGGAAGCGCCATTCCCACCACTTAACGTAGCGCTGGTGTAACTGTTCGCGCAATGATTTAGCAATTCAAACGAAACGGAGTACCGTTTCGCGGTAAGCGTTTATCGACGATCTACGGGCGCAACGTCGTCGCGATCAAAGGTGCGCGCGAGCGAGCGAGAGAGAGAGAGAGGGGGGGGAGGGAGGGAGAGAGAATTTCTTCGTCATCTCTCTCTCTCTCTCTCTCTTCCCTCGCCCTCCCATCTTTTTTCCTCCTCCCCTTCGTTTTTTCTTTTTCCGCACCATCCGGAGAGTCCACCGCCGGTTCTGGATTGCGTGCTTCGCGATATTATATCGAACGTGGCGAACGTGACTAGGATTCTCGGAAGGGACGAGCCCCGTTTCCTCGCACCCTTTCCGCGCCTTCTCAGCGACCTGACGCCCGCGCCCCGTATAATCGCCCGTTTCTCGGCTCTTCGTGCGGCACGGAGCTTTTCGATTCGCTTGAAATTCCAGCCTCGCGAAACGAGCGGGCGACGGTGTGTTTCCGCGTAACGCGCGTACTCGCGCGACGGTTCCGCTCGGGTCGAGAATCGGCGGCGATACGCCGCTGGACGCGATGCGAGAGAGGAAGGAAGGAAGGGAGGAAGGAAGGAAGGAAGGAAGGAAGGAAGGAAGGAAGGAAGGGAAAGAAACGAAAAGGAGAGCGGGAGATGCGAGAGGGAGGAATTTCTCTCTCACTCTCTGTCTCTCTCTCTCTCTCTCTCTCTCTCTCTCTCTCTCTCTCTCTCTCTCTCTCTCTCTCTCTCGAATTCAGCGGGAGAAAATCGAGACTTCGCTCGCTCGCTCTCCCGGCCACGTTCCAAGCGTGGTTTCGCGACCGCCGGAGCGAGAAGTCCCTTTGTTTCGCGGACGAAGAAGGTCTCCCCGAGGTCCGGCCACGTTCTTCGCGATCGACGCGCCAGATAAATTGCGCGCTCGCGCGCGGTCAGCGGCGGAATCGGTGATAAATGAACTTTTCTCGTGTCGAACGTGCCCAGGCCGCTGAGATACGCGCGGTATCGCCGCTTTCGTTCTCGCGAAACGCGATCGCGAGCAGAGGCGCTCCTGGTCGACGGGACAGGCCTCGGAGACCGGAGAGAAATGAAATTGGACCGAGAAAAACGACAGGAATTAAATATATCGAGCTCTGGATCTCGTGTTCTCTTCCTCGGACTCTTTTTCATATTCGAAGGCTTGCCGTAGCGACGTCGTTGGAAAGTTCGTTTGAGAACTCGGAGAACGTCACACTGGCAGCTTTTGGGTTTCGATGGGTTTCGAAAGTAGCGGCAGTTTGCTCGGATTTCATCTCGGAAGCCGAAGGAAGCCGCTGCGGTTCCGCACTTTTGTAAAAAATGTTCTCTCTCCCTCTCGGAGCGCGGAGGATTAAAATATTAGCGCGAGACATATTCCCGTGAGAAATATGTCTCTCTCCTGTCGAGTGCCTCCTGCCGATCGCGATCGTTGGGGTTATCGGCTCGCGTGTTCGAAAGGTACGATTGTGCGGGGTTGCGGATGCTCGAGGTAACTCCACCCCCGACAGACCCTTCGGAGACTCGCCGCGAGGAGGTTAATCAGTCGGTTGGAGTGACCGACGCGCCGGAGTCTTATTAAAGATCGAACGTGAACGATGAGCAATAATTTGAGACCGCCCGCCGATACCTTTCCAGTCATGACGAGTGTATTTTTCCAGGACGAGAAGGACCTGTCGGCAGCGGACGCGGAGGGTGTGTGGTCGCCGGATATCGAACAGAGCTTCCAGGAAGCTCTTACCATATATCCGCCATGCGGTCGACGCAAAATCATCCTTTCCGACGAAGGGAAGATGTACGGTGAGTCCCACAATTTCCTATCTCTATCGTTCCTCTATCGGTCGATCGGAAAAGAGTGAAGAAAAAGGAAGAAAGCGTCGTCTCTCTTTTCGTAACTTGACGTAACTCGAACAGACTGACTGGATCTGCCTCGCGCGCACGTGATGATGAAGTTCGTCGCGAACTTCGAGAACGATACTTGCGAGACCGCGAAATCGAATCGAATCGCTCGCTCGTAATAAATTATGCGAGCGTGCTATATATATTTTGAAACCATGATGTCAAAATTGAATGTACACTAGAGACTGAGCAGAAAATACTCTCTCTCTCTCTCTCTCTCGCTCGTTCGTTCGAGATTCAGAATTTTAGGTAAGGAAAAATATTCGGTTCGATTTTCCTGTCAAAATAAGCTTTATCGCGTTCGACGAAAACATGAGTCACTCATCGGCCGACTAATCATCGTCGTCGTCGAGCTTCGACAATTTTCTGGCGTCAGGACGCTATCAGCGTCGTCCTACATCTTTCTAAAATTGAACCAAACTTTCGGGCTCTGGTCTGGCGTTCATTTTCTACGAGAAAGAACTATTCTTTAAGTAAAATGTCGAGAGACTCGGAGACACTCGCGTTCTCTCCCTCGCACGAGAGAGAAGAAAGAGAGAGAGAGAGAGAGAGAGAGAGAGAGAGATAGAGAGAGAGAGAGAGAAACGTTCATTCGCATTACGAGGAGATAAGGTACGTCCCGAGACCACCTGAGGAAAAGCCCCGAAGGTAAGGACGCCGTTCGACGGGCGTCCGGCGACGGCGACGGCGACGGCGACACCGACGGCTACCACCGTCCTCGTCGACGAAGCCCCTCCGTTCGGCCGCCGCCACGTACGCGACACGACGGACAAACGTCCAGACGGGCGTCGTTATTGCCCGGTGCTGAGGTCAGTCTACGTGACTGACCAGATATTGCCTGGTACGAGCGGCGGTACCACCGTGGCCACCACCGTAAACCACCACCACCATTAACCGCCATGAACTCGCCACCGGGGCAATAACGCCTCCTCGTCTTCGGAGGATATTCGCTCCTCGCTCGCCGTTCACGCGCGCGGTCCTTCTGTGTGTGTACGTGTGTGTGTGTGTGTGTGTGTGCTCTCTTTGCGCGTCTTTTGTATTAATCCTCGTTCTCTTCTTCTCCCTCGCTCTTCCTCTCTTTCTTCCGAATTTGCGGACGTACGGTCGACTCGCCTGCCTCCCCTTCCCTAGCTTTCGAGGAGGAGGGTAATAAATCGCCGACGGGGTAAATCGCTGTGAGACGGACGCGGACGCGGGTGGATATGTAAATTTGCTCACACGCTAATGACGCTAATTCAGTCCTCTGACACGAAGTCACGATGAGCGATCGATATGTAACTTGCGCGAAATTTAATTTCTGAGGGTCGCGTCTTTGCGTTGGAAATTGCGAACGGCGCGAGGTATCGCGGAGCGGTACGGAGGGAGCTCGCGCGCGAGTCCCGTTTCAGGCTATTTTCCGAATTCGGATTCGAGTCGAGCTACTACGGTCATTGCAAACAATGCAAAAAACCATTTTTCTCCGCGGACGAATAAATTTGTAAT